AAATAAATTGGATTTACCCTTGGTTCCAGACTTGAAGTGGTATTTGCAGATCTTCGCGTATACTGTGAATCGGCGCTATTGAAGGGCTCTAGAAAAACTAATTGGCCGGTCAGTCCTACAGTTGTGGTATTGCAATGCAGTTTTCGTACACTGTTGAAATCACAATTTTCTCTTCAACTTGGCCCATTTCTATTTCAAGTGCTGAGGGGACTGATGTTTTAAATTTTTGTTTATAAAATTCTGTTTGATTTTAAAATAACAATGTAATCAGAATTGTCATTTGTCAAAAGATAACTTTTTAAAAACTGTGCAGGATGTATGATTCGGAGATTAGTTATTTGAGGGGACGGATAAATCGATTCTGAGATCCCTAACTTGTCACAGAACTACTAACAAGCACGTTGGCTACTTAATAGCTCAGGGGGAGGTTCGACCGGACCCACAGAAAAATAATCTCAAAAGATAAAAAATTGTTTTAACATTTCAAAGAATGAAAATTATGAAGAAAATTTTTTTCGATTTTGGAAGATGATTAGATGATAATTATCTAAATTCGAGAAAATTTGGTCCCAGTGCCGAAATCAGCGTAATTAGTTGAATCTCAGATTTTATTTTTGCAAACTTACAGTGCCACCAGGTGGAGAAGTTTTTATCTTCTAGTACCCTATCGTCAATATTTCAATTTTAGGTTGAAATCTACGGTCGGTATCAAGAGATTTCAAAATAATTTGTCCAGAAACATTTTTATACTTTCTTAGCCTATTTGTGTCACTTTCATTCTAATTTTAATAAAATTCTTTTATTTTTTATTAAACATGTGATAAATTTTAATTTTTATATCTTCTGTTGAAAAGACGCTTAACCAACAGAGCATTCTCTTCACTCCAGTGATAAAAGCTCAATGCGACAGTCGGTAACAAAGTTTACGAGCTTTCGTTCCACTATTGACGTTGCACTTTCTCAACAACCAGGTTGTTGTTCCACCTTAGAGGTGAATTCACATCCCACTGATCAAAAGAATCATCAGAATGGAAAATTCTGCAAGGCAAAGGATCATAATGAGCTTAATGCACTTAAATTGATCGTTAATAATTCTACCTAAAATGAATTTGAATTATGAATTTATTTCCAAAAGGGGATTTTTATACAATTCTCGCTCTGATTATATGTACATCTCTGTTATGAATAAATTAATTAATAATTGGGAAATTCTCGTTAGCTCTTCATTATGCACCTCATCATCATTATTTACATCTATGTAAATTATTAATAATTCAATTTTATTCATTAACAATCCTCTCTGTAATTAGTCACGACTAATTGTAATTTAATCAATCAGTCCATTTTTCTTGTCTTTTAAAATTATTTCAAAATCTAAATAACTAATAAATCTCGACACGTAAAAAACTTTTCGAGAATTCAATTCATTTTTCATACATCTTGCTTAGAATTCCCTAGACGTACTTTCTTGTATTTTCCATTAAATTTTTCAAACGAATCCAACGTGGAGAAAATAGAGCGAAGTCTAGTGGTGTTATAATAAAAGTACTGCAAACAATGTCAGTATAAAGAAGAAAAAAATGTAAAAGGAAAATGAAAATCGTGACATTTTGCAAAAGGTGAATTATTTTAAGTGGATTTTTTTTTGTTATACGATCCTACTTATGATAACTTTGAAGTATTGTAATTTAAGCTTCATAAAATATATTCAGATGACGTTCATAGTAGACAATATTATATCACTTAAGAAAAGCTTTTTAAATTTATACTCGAGTTTCATGAAAAAGAGAAAAAATATTATATTTCTTTGCAAGAAGAAAAATGTAAATGAACTTTTTATTAATTTAGAAATTCACACAGTGGTTGAAAGAATATGTTCATCAAATAATACAAAGAAGGATATTTTTTTCTTGCAAAGTTTTCTATTGATAAAAGTAAATATTAAATGATATAGAGATACGCATCTTATATACAAGTTTTTTTATATTTTAGAAACTTTTACAATTTTTGTTCCTGCTGAAGGCAGAGAGAATCTTCTTGGAAAATATAAATTTGAACACGAGGATGCTTTCAACGAAGTATAAAATTTTTCGAGTATATATGGAATTGACATGATACACGTGTAACTCTCATAAAAAACTTTATTTTTTTCTTCACATTTTATTTATAGGAAGAGTTTGCTGTTAGTGCGAACTTTTAGATATGTTTTATAATATTTGTCAAAACAAAGGCACTTGCTAATCTAAATTTGACAAAGATTTATTAAAGAAATCCAACTGATCCGCATATACCTAGTTAGCTGATTTACATATTCTAATTAATGTATAGACTTATCTCGAAACGGAAATTCAGGTGCTTTATTTATTTTAGTTTATTAAGAATAAACTTGTTTGTTTTAAAAACCTTTAATTGATCATTCAAAGAATATTGTGTAAATCACGTAGTTGGTTTATTGTTGCTTGTAGACAATCCAATCAATTGCAATCATAAATTCTCTATATGTTCCTGTGGTTTTCCATACAAATACTCCTGTATACTGTAATTGAAACAACGGAACCCTTGATACAATATATTGAAAAGAATCCATTAATATATCTACTGTCAACTGTCGTTCATCAAAATTCCAACTCGAATCGTTTTTCAATTATTGTGTCAACCTAAGAAATATGTCAACACCTAACTGTCTATCAAATAACCGCGCAATTCTGTTAATTACAAATATAGAAAAGTTTTGCAGCAATACAAATAATTTTGCTACAAGTGGAAGGATGGAATTATTGATTAGTAAAATGTACGAAGTATTTTGAAACTTCATCTGCAGAAAAACTCTTTGTTTCTTCATCAGTGCGATCGTGGATTTACAATAAGAAAACGAAGTTGTTCACGAGAAACAATCACAGATCTTTTAGACGAGTTAGAGAGAATCCTGATCATCGAGAAATAATTAAAATTGAAACCTCTAATTTGCTATTAAACAGATTCCAAACAGTTCATTTGGACCCAAAATTACAAAATAATTATCAGATTGCTCAACACAGATTGCACCAAAGTCTGGACTTGAATTTACCAATATAAAGTGCAAGGTGGCATTAATTGACTCAGCAGCAAAGGTCATTGTACGAAATATGCAATTCTCTGCTTTTTGGAGAAGTTAAAAATCAAAGCACGGAGCGAAAATGCTGTTAGTTCGGTTGAACAGTCTGAAGGGTGGTGGTCCACGAAGAGACACCCTGACAAGAAAAGACTCCAGAGAATCTGTAATAGGAAGAGTTGGAATTTTGTGAAAAATTAAATTGTTATGTTTCAATAATGAAACCAAGACAAAGAATTAAAGAAGCACTCCTCACAGTGAACGTCTAATTACCTGACAAATTCCTAGCAGCACTTCTAATTAGTCTAGCTTAGCCTTAAGTATTCGATTGGGTACTATTTTTGGATCTTTTGGGGCAAGTGAAAAATCCGTTGTCAGATTTTTGGAATACAGAAATCTGCATTTCAAGATTATGTACGGATGATCACTCTTGTCTTGATCGACCCACTAAAAACCACTTCCGTCCTTGCTTGAACAATTTTCCTTTGGAACTACCGTCAGACTTCAAAATTCGTAGGTGGAAGACCCCTGGGATCCCTGTTTGAGTGATTATGTCAGATATCAAGTGTTTCCTCTTGAACTCCTAACTGCTCCAAATCCATACTCCCAACTGCTTTGGTGACATTTGCCATAAAGGCATTTTTATAAGACATCTTTTTAATGATTTGGCCCTCAATAGTATTCGAGTCCACTGGGCAAGAAACCACATTTAAGAATGATCCAAAAATGTTTTTCATCTCCGACAAATAATGCTGCAAAACATGATCATGAATTTTCAAATAACATTTTTCCATTTAGAGAAAAATTTTTAATGCACCTTCTAGTATCTAGAAGTAACTTTTCCTCTATTCTTTATCTCATTATATTTTTTTAGAAGATAGTAAAAATTTTATGATCTCTCTCACAGGGAAAAGTTTTTACTTGAAAATTCATTTCGTACATTGAGCAAATGTTCCATATCGCATTTGAAAGCATTTCAAGTTAGTAAAAGTAATTCCCCTAATATATTTCGAACTTCAATGATAATGTTGAATATATTTTGACCCAATTTGCAAATCAAAAGGTATAACTTGCGGTATTTTGATAGTTATATACCAATTGCAGGTGGAGCTTTTGAAGACGCAGGTGGTTCTGGATGCAACATTCGTTTTAGAGACGGATCGATCAGCGCACGACTCCTCCTCTCAACTCTCTCCCAACCCGTGGCATCTGGTTCAATTTTAGACCTCTGTCAAATATCAATATCTCTACAAATATATATTTGTTGTCAAGGGCTTTTTCTTTTTTTTCTAGCCATATATGTACTCTTAAGAAATATGTCTTTAGTAAACGAACAAAATAAATTGTGCAAATAGAATTATATTCTTGACATTTCTGTGAGTAGTGGTATTTTGTTTCGAATTTTTTTTTTTTTTTTTGTTTAAAATACTTCAAAGCACCCTCAGCAAAGGAAACGGCTTGAAACACTTTGAAAGGTATAAATTCAATGAAAGTCTTTCTCTTTGAGTAAATGCAAAATAGAAAAATGTTCTTTTCAACATATTAACGATATTGTGTGTGTGTGACATTTTTATTTAATAATCGTATTCCAAATGCTATTTAATATTTCATAGAAATACATTTTATTTTGTCAAAATAAATTTTATTTTCTCAAAATACATTTTATTCATTGTTTTCTAAACTTTAAATAATTTTATTATCGCCTTCTGATTATTAGTTTAAAAATTAATTAATCTTTTTTTAAAAAAAATGTAATTTCGATTTTTCTAAAAGAAATTCCATTTCTACATTAATATTAATCGAAATAATTCGAATAGCACATTTGAAATTATCAAATCCTAATCTTCATTCAAAAATGATACTCTATTATCAACAGACGAATAGGTATATAAATAAAAGTATAATCAAAGATACGTCGTCATTCTCGATTACCAAAAGTTAGACAATGATTATATTTAGTGTGTTTCTAAGTATTTTCCTCATAAGTTTTTGCAACGGTAATTATAATAATTTTTCGAAACATATTTTTAATTTAAAAATGTGCTGATAAAAAGAATTTTTATTTAAATTTTTTATCTATTTAAATTGAAAATTTCAAAGTGAAAGAATATTTTGTATTACTTCTAAAATTAATAAACTAATTAAAAATTAATAGCTGGAACATTAAGGAGCAATTATTTGGATCCAAAAATTATTAATGGTGAAGATGTCAAACCAGGAGAAATTCCTTACCAGGTAATTTTTATTAAGACACGAAAAAAGCGAGGAAAAAAGTTCAAGTAATTTTAAAATTAAATAAACTTGTAACGAAAATTATTAAATGCAAATGGATTCATTAAATTTTTATTTTTATTCAATTAGCAATTAATCAGTTTATATTATTTAAATCTTAGAATTTTAAATTTAGATATTGAATTCCGAGAAAGAATTTAATAGTTTTTTTTCGTCTTTCTTAAAAATAGTATAAAAATTAAATAGTTTATCTGTTTATAAATAGTTTGAAGCAAATATTAAATAATTTTTATTTTAAGAACTGATTTTATTTTCGAATATTATACAACCTTGTAACAGGAACTCAGAACACAAACTGAAACATTTACGTAAAGTAATAATAAGATAAAGGTTCGATGCTTAGGTAAGAAGAAGGGTAAGCTATACAATTAATAGAGTTTATTACGACCAGACCCACAATTGTCTCTATTGTTTAAATACCCCCACTCTATTTTTATTTTTAAATATTTAAATGTTAACAATCTCTTTACAATTATAAAAAAAATTAATATTCTATTTCTAAATTATTTTTTTAATTTCTAAAAAGCAGTTCGGTATTTTCTTTCTTTTTACGTCAAGTGTACTGAATATGTACGTCAAGATCCGTATCGGCATGTACATATTTATTAAACGTAAAATAATTATTTCTATTTGAAAATAAATTAACGTTTGAATATTATTGAGTTTAGGGCGAAATTTTATCATGCGCCGCTCCTGACTTCGCGTGTAGCCAATCAGCGCCCGAGAGTCCCCCACTCTCGAGCGTTACTCGGTCCCCACCATCTCCGCGTAGGGCAAACGTATAAAAGCCGGCGCGCAGCTTGAAGTCTCGCAGTCGGAGTACCTCAGGGGTCTGTTCTAGGCCCAGTATTCTTTATTTATTTGAACGATATACCAAAAAGTGAGAATACAAAATTTTCAATATTGATGATACAGCCGTGTTTTCCACTTTTTGGAAAAAATATAAAGCAACTAAATATTTTCAGACACATTTGGATGTACTTGTAAAATATTATCATAGATGGAAATTTAAGATTAATGCCAACAAGACTGAATTTATTATTTTTAGTAAACACGACAAAGAGATTAATGAAGATGAAATAAAAATTACTCTAGATAAAATGGATGTTAAAAAATCGAACAGTATTAAATATCTAGATTTAACTTTGGACAATAGATTAAATTATAGGGCCCATATTTCGACGACATGTGCAAAAGGCCAAAAGATGAGGGGACTACTAAATAGTCTTATTAATAGAGAAAGCAAACTTAACTCTAAAAATAAAGTAATCTTGTATGAAAGTTTAATTAAACCAATCGTGACTTAGGATATTCCTGTCTGGAGTAGTGCAAAAATCAAGTTTTTGAAAGTAATAAACATTAACGACACAAAATAATTTGAACAGAGGCGTTTACGTGACACTTCTGACCACTGTAAATGTTCAGAATTTGTAAAACATTTTTCTTACCACAGGTATCACTTCAAAAAATTGCCAAAAATTTCCATTTCTGTGGAGGATCGATTTTAAATGAAGCTTTCGTAATAACAGCAGCGCACTGTGTAGTAAGGTATAATTATTTTATTATTTCAGATTCCATATGTATTTATAAGTGATTTATTTTTACCAACAGTTGATCTTCTTGAAATGAATAATTTTAAATTTTAATCTTTACAGTAAGAATGCATCTGACATTCAAGTAATAGCTGGAACTCTAAAATTAAGCGAGCCAAAATCAGTTCATTATGTTTCTCAAATAATTGTTCATAAATTTTACAATAGAACCGATTCCTGGAGAAATGACATTGCTTTACTAAGAGTACGTACAATTGTCTGCCTAAAAATTATCAAAAATACATTTGAATCTAAACTTTTGTTTCACATAGGTGAAAAATCGTTTTATACTTTGCAACACCATACAAAAAATTCCTCTTCCTTATTATAACATGGTCATTGATGCGTATGAATATGCTGTGGTTTCTGGTTGGGGTCGACTCCAAGTAAGTTTTGCATTTTTATTGTATTTTCTAAAATTGGATTTAAGGGAAGATCCGTTTCCTAATTTTGGACGGAGGATCAGTTTCCAAAATAACGAAAAAAGGGACTTAGGCCTTTTTAGAAAATAATTGGAAATTTTCACAGTACAAGGGACCTAGACCCGATCATATGCAACGAGCTCAAATTCGTATAGCTGATCAAAATTACTGTAGAGCAGTTTATGAAGACCATGGACATTTTATCTATCCTACTCATATTTGTGCCTATGACCCAGACATTAGGAAAGGATCTTGTAAGGTATAACACAACAATTGACATTTTTATTTATACTATTCATTCATTCAGAAAAATCTTCTAACGTAAACTAGTTTTTAAATCGTTAATTTAAATTAATTTCGGTAGATCTGTTTGTCTTTAGAAGCAGATAGAAAAATAATTGTTTTATAATTCCAGGGCGATTCCGGTGGTCCCTTAACTGTTAAAGGATTTCTTGTAGGTCTTGTTTCGTGGTCGAATGGTTGTGCAAAAACCGATTACCCTACAGTTTACACTAGAGTACCAGAATATTTAGACTGGATTAGGATACATTCTTCGTGATCTAATTACATTTTCTTGACTATTGTAACTTTATAATTAAATAGTAATGTAAAAAACTTTCACTTAAGAAATTTGTAAATTAATAAAACTGTTGGTATTAAAAAATTTTTCAAGACTTCTATGACATATTTAGGATAACTAATCTGCAAGTAAACAAGAAATGTAGTTACTTTCAAAAGCTAAAAATTTTTAACTTTATCGAAATTCTTCAGGGAAAGAAAATAAGTTCATCAAAAAGAAGAATCCCTAATCAAAATTCAAACTACTTTGTATAGAATGATATGCATATAGACGATGTGTTTGGAATAATTATAGAAAACTTGTGGTGTTGATAACAAGCGAAAATATCACAATAAATTTCAATGACCTAAATTAATTCTTATCAAACGGAAGTTCCCAAAAAATAAAGAGCGTTCTCTACAGTACCTCATTGTACGCCGTTTTTCTTTTAAACTCTTTACTTAATGTTATTTCATATATACAAAGGTGAAAATACATTTCACGGATTTACAGTCTTTCTTCTTCCTCCTCGTCTACCAATAGAAATTCTTTTATGTAATTCATTATTAGTGATTCGGTATTAATTTTTTCCTATAGTATTATTTTTTTCATGCAAGAAAGGTTTCGCCTAAATTAATTGATATTACTTCAACAATTAATCCAATCGATAAACGCATTTATCTGAGAGAAAAAATTATTGGAAATTAATATTATCTCACTGGATAAATCATCATTAATCATTCATTGATAACAGGTATTACCCTATCCTATTCATCTTAATTTTAATTTACAATTATAAACAAAACATTCAAGTTTAATGGCCGCGTGAATAAATATAATTATCTTAATTGTTATTTATTTGTAATCAGAAATAATATAATTACGATGACGTTAAAGAATAGAATTATTTTCTCCCAGATGAGTGTATTTTACAGAAAATAGTAAAATCTCGAGGACAGATTTTTTAAAAATATTTATGGAACACTCCACGTCAACAAGAACAGAGCTAGAAAGAAAAATTTTCTGGAAAATTTCTGCTAGAAGAAAAATAAACTTAGGTAATCAATGGTTTAAAAGATTCCTACATTCGTGTACTTTAAGATGCCGGTGAGCGTTTTAACAAAAAATAAATTAATTTATGATGCCATTACGGCTGCCAAAAATCAAAAAGACAAAAAAATTTGTAAAATTAAAAATATTTTCAGAAATTAGAAGCTAAGAACAACTTGAATAATTCTAAAACTCATTATCTAAAAGCTCGTAGGGTCGCTGATTACGAAACTGAAGTTATTTTTCAAAAAACCAAAATGTCGGATCCAAAATGTCGGACTAATTTTCAGAAGCGCCAAAAAGGAACTTTTTTTTGAATGAAACTTATTACTCGGGGCTTTTGGGGTCACTGATTACGAATCTAATGTTAATTTTTAGAAATTCAAAAATTCTGACCCAAAATGTAGGTCATACATCTCAAAAAATTGTCTATCCACCATTTTGGATCTGCCATTTTGAATTTTTTTAAAATAACTTCAGATTTGTAATCCGAGTATTAAGTCTCATGTAAAAAAAAGTTCCTTTTGTAGTTTCTGAACAATTGGCCGCCATTTTGGATCCACCATTTTGAATTTTAAAAATCTGTCAACAACGGCTCCAAAAAGCACTGAAAAAAATATATCATCATAGTTTAAGTATATTTGGGACTATAACCAAGTTTTCTATATCTGACCTACTATGCAAAGAGACAAATGTCGACAAATTGTAACTAAACCAACATTTAATAAACAAATGCCTAGAGATTTTTCTACCATTTCAAATGACACATAGTGTTCTTCGCGACTGAATCACAAAGCAGGGTCTCATTTAAAACTAAATATAGAAAATATTAAAAATATAAATAAATAACAATAAATTTCAATATCTTTGAAGACCTTTTAATCAAATAATTATCAAAAATATCCATCTTGATGAAAGAATATAACAAAATTAATTGGGAAATAATTTAAATCTGTAATGCACATCTAATCAAAAGGCTTTACTCGAAAAGTGATTAACTACAAGTTAATTGTAATTAAATTATCTTGATTAAATGAGTATAAATTAGTGAACCTAGAAGAAGTAAAGCACAGTCTTGGAACGGAAAAAAATTAAAAAATGAAATATATTGTGTTCTTTGGTCTGAACCTCCTGGCTGTTACCCAGGGTAAGTAATTTTAAAAATAGTATAATATTCATAAACTTAAGTTCTTTTTACTTATTTTATAATTTATAAATCTTCCATTAAATACTATAAATAAAAATAAGAATCCAAAACAATTTTAATAGCTGCTGTTCTTGACTGGGACTTATTGATACCCAGAATCATCAACGGACAAGATGCAAAACCTGGAGAAATTCCGTTCCAGGTAAAGTTAATAAATTTGCAAAAGTCAGCTTATAAAATATTAAAGAGATAGTAACCAACATTGAAATTAATCCCGTAGGTCTCACTTCAAACCAAAAATCAAAATTTCCACTTTTGTGGAGGTTCAATTTTGACCGAGAACTATATTATCACTGCAGCTCATTGTGTTGTTGGGTAAGACCATTTTTTCTAACCTGTTAAATCCAAGAAATATTTATTTACACAAAAACATTTATTTTTAAATACTAATATTTGTGTGGCCTTGTTTCTAGGAACTTAAATCAAGAAATTAAACAATTTTCACTAAAAAAAACTTTCTACTTTCAGTAATAAAGCAGCTAACATACAAGTCATCGTAGGAACATTAAAATTAAGTGAACCAAAATCTGTTCACCTCGTTGAACAAATTATTACGCATAAAGAATATAATCCACGTGATGCTTGGAAGAATGATATTGCTTTACTAAAAGTAAGTTTAGGCTCATAAATAACTATTGTAGAATTAAACAAAAAATATCTTATATTAGTTATGGTGTTAGTTACAGAAACGAAAATGCTTGTAAAAAGAATTAAAAAATTTAATTAATTGTCAATTTGATAATTAAAAAAATTTCTGATTTTGATGTAGGTAAAGGAACCAATCGTCATGACTAATGAAATCAAACCTATTCCTCTTCCTCATCATAATGCCGTATTTAAGCCTAATCAAAAAGCAGTTGTCTCCGGATGGGGTAGACTTTTGGTAAAATTTTCAGTTCTTAGTATTTTTTATTGCCTGTTTTAAAGAAATACAATATTTTTAATGAAATGATTCTCTTGGCAGTTTAATGGACCAACTCCGGATCATTTACAACGAGCTGATCTTGTCATTGCCGATCAAACCTATTGCGTGAAAAAATACGCCGAATTCGGTCTTAATGTTCACGACAGTCAAATTTGTGCTTACGATCCTAAAGTGATGAGGGGATCATGCAATGTAAGTATATTTTTTCATTACCTTTTTCTTCAATAGTAATATTTCTTCTTCAATATAATTTTTAAAATTTTTCCTTTTTTGTTTAGGGTGACTCTGGTGGTCCTTTGACTGTTAATGGAGTCCTAGTGGGTCTAGTTTCCTGGGCTAATGGTTGTGCCAAAACCGACTATCCAACAGTCTATACTAGAGTTCCAGACTTTTTGGATTGGATCGCAGCTCACGCGGTTTAAATTTTTTAAAAATATTTGATAATCTGATAATGCCTAGCGAAAATAATTTATGTACTTTTTTAAATCATTTTTTAATAAAAGAAATTATTAATAATTAAGAATAATGATTATTTCCTACTGAAAAAGACAGTATAATCATGCACTGAGAAAACATACTTAATTCAAATAGAAAAATAATTTTAAGTGATATTCATTAATTGAAATTAGTTTGTAAGCTTAATCTCAATATATAGAAAATAATAAAATATCTACTGCTTTGATTCAAAAATAATATTTGTTTGAATAATTATGTTTAATTCCAACATATTTTCTGTTTTGATTTAAACAAAAATTATGTTTCAAAATTTTATGTTTGATTCAAACTTCAAAGTTGATTATAAATAATTAAAAATCAACCATAACTTATGTTTGAGTTAAATATAATTATTTCTTCAAATTAACTAAAAAATATGTTTCAATTAAACTTGGATATGTTTGACTAGCAAAGATATTTTAAATTTGATTTAAACAAACATATTTCTAATTTCTATTTTTTTCGATTTTGAATTTAAAATGGCGCTTGAATTTCCTAATTTTACGAAGGATGACAAATTTTTTTGAAAATTGCTCAAATTTGATGGAAATTTGTCACTCGGAGGTTTTCGGGGTCGCTGATTACGAATCTGATATCAGATTCTCAAAATTCAAAATGGCGGACTAATTTTTTAAAATTGCTCAAATCTCATTGAAATTTGTTACTCGGGGGTTTTTGGGGTTGATGATTGCGAATCCAATGTTTGATTTTTTTAAAATTCAAGAACAACCATGGCCCAGAGTTTACTTTTGAAAATATTTTTCTCAACTTTATTATCATTGAATTTGTTTCAATAATTACTTATATTTTTCGACAAGGCGATCAATGTCAATCAATCTAAATTATTTTCCTAGAGATTGATAATTCCTTTAAACAGGAAAAAACATTCACTTCCACATTAGAAGATTAATATCAGACAAATTCTTATCGTTCAATAATAATGATTTGGAATTTTTGCTATAAAAACAGTACATCTAATCAAATACAATAACCTAGTTAATTAAATTATCTTGATTAAATGAGTATAAATTTGTAAACTTAGGAGAAGTAAGGCACAGTCTTGGAACGGAAAATTTGAAAATGAAATATATTGTGTTCTTTGGTCTGAGCCTCCTGGCTGTTACCCAGGGTAAGTCATTTAATAAAAGTATAATAAGTATAATATTCAAGTATAAAGTATAATATTCATAAAATTAAGTTATTTTTACCTATCTTATAATTTATAAATCATCTATTAAATTTAAAAAAAAATAAAAATCTTTAACAATTTTAATAGCTGCTGTTCTTGACTGGGACTTATTGACACCCAGAATCATCAACGGACAAGATGCAAAACCTGGAGAAATTCCGTACCAGGTAAAATTAATAATATATACTTTACAAAAGTTACCCGATAAAATATTAAAGAAATAGTAACTCAAATGGAAATTAAATCCTTAGGTGTCACTTCAAATAAAAAATCTAACTTTCCACTTTTGCGGAGGTTCAATTTTGACCGAGAACTATGTGATCACTGCAGCTCACTGTGTTTCTGCGTAAGACACTTTTTTTTAAACTATTACAAACCTTGAAATATTGATTGACAGAAAAAAATATTTACCTTCAAACACGAACATTTGTGTGGCCCTTAAAAAATAAAGAAATTTAAAAATTTTAACTAGATTTAGATAATTTTCTACTTTCAGTCATAAAGCAGCTAACATACAAGTCATCGTTGGTACATTAAAATTGAGTGAACCAAAATCTGTTCACCTTGTTGAACGAATTATTACGCATGAAGAATATAATCCATATGATGCTTGGAAGAATGATATTGCTCTACTAAAAGTAAGTTTATGCTTATAAATATTGTAGAATTAAACAAAAAATATATTATATTAATTTTGGTGTTAGTTATATAAAAGAAGAAGCTTGTCCAAGAATTAATTATTAATTGTTAATTTAAAAAAATGTTTTGAACTTGATATAGGTAAAGGAACCAATCGTCATGACTAATGAAATCAAACCTATTCCTCTTCCTCATCATAATGCCGTGTTTAAGCCTAATCAAAAAGCAGTTGTCTCCGGATGGGGTAGACTTTGGGTAAAATTTTCAGTTTTCAGTATTTTTTATTGCCTGTTTTAAAAAAATATAATATTTTTAATGAAATGATTCTCTTGGCAGTTTAATGGACCAACTCCAGATCATTTACAACGAGCTGATCTTGTCATTGCCGATCAAACCTATTGCGTGAAAAAATACGCCGAATTCGGTCTTAATGTTCACGACAGTCAAATTTGTGCTTACGATCCTAAAGTGATGAGGGGATCATGCAATGTAACTAATATTTTTTCATTCCCTCTTTCTTCAATTATAGTAATATTTCTTCTTCAATATTATTTTTGATTTTTAGGGTGACTCTGGTGGTCCATTGACTGTTAATGGAGCCCTAGTGGGTCTAGTTTCTTGGGATAATGGTTGTGCCAGAACCGACTATCCTACTGTTTATACTAGAGTTACGGACTTTTTGGATTGGATCGCAGCACATGCGGTTTAAATTTTACAAAAGTTTCTGATAATATATTAATGCCTAGTTAGAATAACTTATGTACTTTTTTAAAGCGTTTTTTAATAAATAAAATTAGTAATAATTAAGAGAACTGATTATTTCCTACTGAAAAAGATCGTAATCATGTGTATTTGTAGAAAAAGAAATAATATTCATTACCATGAGAGTATTAACAATCTGATTATAAATAAAATAAATTTTTATAAACCAGTTTTAACATTGAGATGAATTGTTTCATCTGTAGATTCATCTACTCATACTCTAGCTTCATACTTATCAAAAATTTTGAAACCAATTTCAGGTAAAGTTTGTCCTAATTAAATTAATGGTTTTGCCACAGCAGTTAATAATTTTTTATTATTCTCTCAATCAACAAGTTGTTTACAATACATTTTGTAAAATTATATATTTGTTTGTAAAATTATGTTTAAACATAAAATTCTTATTCCGAATAATTCGTTAAATTAGCGTTTAACCCTGAACCCTGATGTTTTATTTACTTCTTGAAAATACTGCCAACGAAAATAAACAAACGGAAACTACAATTTTTTTATGTTTGCATACACAATTGTCACTATGACCACTTTTGAAATGAACTATAATTTAACAACACAAGTTACTAATTTTGCATTTACCAGTTACATGAAGTTCTATCATTAAACAGTATTTCCTAACTTTTTTTTGCCAACTATCTTCTCTTGCCAGGTGAAAAAATTAAAAAACATGATTCTCCAAAAATTAAGTAACTATTCCATCATCTCATTGATAACACTAGTGGTCAGTGGGCAAACAATCAGTGACCAATGTACGAACAATTTAAACAATTACATAGTAAACAATTTAAAACCTCATCAAACAGTCTTGTTGGCAAATCTAAATTTTGAGTCTATTGTACAAACGGCAATTGTGACAATAGTCAAAAACTTGGCATACATTCAAATTGATGTGGAAAAAATGTCATCGAACGATCTAAAACAATCCGTAAAGTCACCAGTCTTCTTCAGTCTAAGGAAGACATCCCTATTTCTCCTAACGCATTCCTTCACTAATGACACCCATACGAGTAATTTTTCCACATCCATAAATTACTTGACAAATCTCTCACCAGGACAAGCTCGACCTAATGTCATCCTCATCACCCAAACAGAACGAAAATCATCCTTTAAAATACTTCTTCGCGAAATGTGGAAAATTCGCTATCTCGATTTTACAATTTTGGAAATAAACGTGAAGAATTTGAAAGGCTCTTTAAAGAGTTCTGATAATATCGATAAAGTAGCCTTTGTCCATTACTACAATCCATTCACGGAAAGGTACTCCCATAAAAAGTGTTCTTTAAAAACAGTTTGGTTTCCAAATAAACTATTGAATCTTAATGGTTATCAAGTAACGGGTGGATTAATTTTTTATCCACCGCACAGTGTACCAATGTACGACGAATTGGGTCAGTTAAATAGTTACAGTGGAGCTGATATGGATATGTTCAATGCCTTATCGGAGGCAATGAATTTCTCACCATTCATCGATTCGAATATTAATTCAACTCTTGGAATTTTTAACGGTAATAAAGCAACGGGAATGTTGGGATCACTCATAAGTAACGAGATTAATATTCTTATCAGCACGACCATAAATATTCGTCCATCAACCGAAGGTGGATTGTATGGTTACTCACGTACAATCGACATGGATCCACTAGTAGCATTACTACCAATTATTCACAACAATACAGAAGAGCAATTCTTAAGTCTAAAAAAATTAGCCCAAAGAATCTTATTATTTATCATCGTTTCCATTGGGCTCTGGACAATAATGAGCGTCATAAGGAAAGTAAATTCCTGGAAACCAGAGTACATAGCAGCAACAGTATTGGGTGTAGCAATACCCAAACAACCAAATGATAATTTTACACGAACTTTATTTTTATTTCTGATTGCAATTGGCTTCTATTTATCGAGTACTTTCCTAGGTAGTCTAACTGCTAGTAAAATTAAGAACACGGACGATGTGAAAATGGAAACATTTATGGATTTAGCAAAATCGGATTTAACACCCATTAGTGGTACGAATATTGACAGATATCTTAATGATGGATCAGAAGCATTAGAAATTCTGTCCAAGAAAATAATTCCTAATGATTATGTCTACAGTGATTGTATTGCAATGCTCGCTAAGGATAAAAATGTCAGTTGCATCATATTTAATTCGTACGCTAAACAATTAGTCGATGTACTTAAGGATAAATCTGGACATCCAGTTAGCACTATTCTTGATGATAAATTTTTTAATACACGAAGAGTTTTGGTGTTAGAAAGAAGTTCACCGTACAAGGAAAGATTGGATGAATTAATTTCTCTTTTTGTTGCATCTGGACTGAGAATGAAATGAGAGAGAAATATTTCACATGATATTATTATAACAAATTGGTTTGGTGTCAATAAATTCAATGACAAAACATTACTGAATACCAAGGATTTAGGTTCTGTTTCAAATTTAGGAAAATTACTTTTATATACAGCTTTATCTGGATATGTGGTTTCATTTTTTGTTTTAGTTGTTGAAATAATTTTTTACAGATTTAAATTAAAGGAAACTGTAATTTCTCTGGAGAATGGTGATGAAGCCAGAGGAAATAAGATATTTGTTACTAGTCATGATATTGATGACCTTTTTGATGATGATGTCTCTGTATTGGAAATGAAATAAATAAAACTAATGATTTTCTATTGTCTTGTACAAATCCTAATTCTAAAGAATATTTGTTCGTTATTCATTTTTAATTCATTTTTAATTTAATATTAATTTTCAGCTGGTTTAGTAATAAATAGAATAATACTTCTAATATTTTTTTTTAATATGAAATTTAGTTTTTTAGTGCAATGTTAATTTTATTCCAATTCCTTTTTGTCTAAAATACAGCGATTTCTACTGAAATCTGTTTTCTAAAAAAAAGTTTTTCTAACAAGTTTTGATTTCTAAAAAAAGTTTTTCTACAAAGTTATGATTTCAAATATTTATTTTTCATTATTTTTATTATTTTATTATTTGCCACTAGCAATTTTAAAAATAATAGAATTTAAAAATTTTCTAATTAAAATTTTTGTTGAAAACACTAAAAAAATTTAATTTTTGGGGAGAAATTACAAATAATTGCAGAAATTCAATTATTTTTAAAAAAATATAAAATTCTTCTTATAAAATTCAACTCTGTTTAAAATTTGAAAAAAATTCTTGTAAAAATCCCAATTACCTTTATAAATAACAAAATTCTTCTCTAAAGTTCAATTATTTTCATAAATGGCAAAAAAATTCTTGTCCTAATTTCAATTATTGTACAAAAATTTTTCTAATTTTAATGATTCTCAATATCTATTAAAGTTTCCTAAAAAGAATTCAATTTAAAAAAAATTTTAATAAAATTGTATGCAAACAATAGATTATTTTTATAAATAATAAAAATTTCACAGGAATTCGATTATTTTCATAAATAATAAAATTTCTAGAAGAATTTCAATTATTCTATAAAATTTTCAAAACAATTATTCCAAGAAATACAATTATTTTTAATAATTTTGATGAAATTCTTTACAAAAATTCAATTATTTTCAAAAATAAAAAAATTTTTCACAGAATTTCAATTATTTTCTTAAATAAAAAAATTTCTAGAAGAATTTCAATTATTTTATTAAACATTTTTAAAACCATTATTCTAAGAAATACAATTATTTTTAACAATTTTAATGAAATTCTTTACAAAAATTTTAATATTTTCAAAAATAAAAAAATTCTTCACAGAATTTCAATTATTTTATTAAACATTTTTAAAACCATTATTCCAAGAAATACAATTATTTTCAACAAATTCGATGAAATTCTTTACAAAAATTGAATTATTTTCAAAAATAAAAAAATTCTTCACAAAATTTCAATTATTTTCATAAAAAAAAAATTTCTATAAGAATTTAAATTATTCTACAACATTTTCAAAACAATTATTCAAAGAAATACAATTATTTTCAACAAATTCGATGAAATTCTTTACAAAAATTGAATTATTTTCAAAAATAAAAAGAAAATTCTTCACAAAAATTCAATTATTTTCATAATTAACAAAATTTCTATAAGAATTTCAATTATTCTTTAAAATATTTTTAAAACAATTATTCCAAGAAATACAATTATTTTTAACAATTTTGATGAAATTCTTTACAAAAATTCAATTATTTTCATAAATAAAAATATTTCTAGAAGAATTTCAATTATTTTATAAAATTTTTAAAACAATTATTCCAAGAAATACAATTATTTTCAACTATTTTGATGAAATTCTTTACAAAAATTGAATTATTTTCAAAAATAAAAAAATTCTTCACAAGATTTCAACTCTTTTCATAAATAAAAAAATTTCTAGAAGAATTTCAATTATTTTATAAAAAGTTTTAAAAAAAAAACAATTTTATTCATGGCGCAACCATTTTAATTTTTATATCTCATTTTTTTCCATTGGATTTTTAATTTCTTTGTATTTTTTGACTAGGACAAAAAATCCAAAAAAATAAATCCAAAGTGAAACTATTTTTTTTACTTTTTTGGATTTTTTTTATTTCCATTGTTAGTAAAACGTGATAAAGATTAATCTTCAAAAATAAACATCTTTTAATTAAATCTCATCAGTTGTTTCATTAATTTCCTAGACGATAATTTTAAATTAAATTATCTTCATTTAATGAGTATAAAATTAATAATTCTGCGAGAAAGAAGAATTGAGAAAGGCTCTTTAATATAATGAAACATTGTTCCTTTCTTCTAGGCCTACTGCCTTTCTCTCGTGGCAAGTATAATAACCATATAAAAATTGATAATATGTAAGAAAAAAATTTATACTTTTAAATTTATTGCCATACTTTTTAAAAAGGAAAATTAATTTCTAACTTTTTTAATAGCCGCTGTACTTGACTGGAATTCTTTGATACCAAGAATCATCAATGCGGACAAAATTGTGCCCTGACCGATTATCCACATAACAGTTTTTACTAGAGTTCCCGATTTTTTTAATTGGATCACAGAAAACTCAGAAAGTTTAAATATTCATAGAGTTAAATAAACAATTTATTATAATTAAATAAGCAATATTTTTATACCCTTTTGTTAAATTTTTGTAATAAAAAATTCCACTTATAACAAATTTAGAGTTCTAGACCCAGAGTTTACTTTTGAAAATATTTTTATCAACTTTATTATCATTGAACTTATTTCAAAGATTCGACAGGGCGAACAATATTATATCTAAATCTGTTTTCTAGAAATTGATAATTTTCCTAACAGGAAAAAATACTAACTTCCACATTAGGAGATTAGTATCAGACAAATTCTTATCGTTCATTAATAATGATAAGAAATTTTCGCTATAAAAACAGTTTCAAGAAAGTTTCGTTCGATGGTAGTGAAAATGAAATTTTACATTATTTTAACCTTTGGTCTATTAGCATCGTCTGATGGTAAGAATATTCTAATAATATTTAAATAATATTCAATAAAATTCATAATAAATAATATTCTAATAATATTCTAATAATATTCTAGTAATATTCTAAAATATTTAAATTAAATTTAGTTAATTAATATTGTGTTTAAAATTAACCCAGCTTTCAACTTGGAGAGAAATTCATTAAGTGAGTCGAGAATTATTAATGGAAGAAAAGCATTGCCTGGAGAACTTCCATATCAAGTAAATTCTTTTAAACGACTTTTTCGTAAAAAAATAAAGTATAAAAAAAAATAATAAAAAATTATAAAAAAATTATTAAAAAATTATAAATATAAATTATAAATTATAATAATTAGAACTATTATAAGTATAAATTATAATACATTTAAAATTCGTTGTAGTATCTTAATTTTAAAAATGATTTTTTTACAATAGGTGTCTCTTCAGACGAACACTAAACCTTCATCTTTCTTTTGCGGTGGATCAATTTTAAATGAAAATTACGTGATAACTGCCGCTCACTGTGTTGTAGGGTAAGAATAATCTGAAAAAAAATTTCAAATTTTGTTTAAAATTTGTTTAACAATTAATTCTTTTACAAAAGAATAAGTTTTTTATTTTTTCGGCAATGCAAAATTAATTATAAATAAAATTATTTTTATAATTGATTTTTACCTTTTCAATTAAATTAAATACATTAATATAATACATTAATACAATTAAATTACTATACTTTTTAGCAAAAATGCCGGTTCGATAAAAATAGTAGCGGGAACAATTAATCTTTTAAAACCAAAAGACACTTATTTTGTTGAAAAAATAATAACTCATGAAGCATATAATGCAAATAATTCTTGGATAAATGACATCGCTTTAGTTAAAGTAAGATTCACTATTTTTTAGTTATAATTTTTAAATGAAATATTTTTTATGAAATTTTTTCTAATATCCACATTATTATAATTAGGTTAAAACTCCATTTGTAATGAACAATGAGACCAAAAATGTTATTCTTCCAAAATCGGATATGGTGATAAATGATAATGATGTAGCCGTTGTTTCTGGATTTGGCCGAAAATGGGTAAATTTTGAAAAATATTTAATGTTTAAGATTAAAATTTTTAATAATATTAATTAATAATTAATAATTAATAACAATATTAATTAATAATAAATAATAATATTATTAATACTTTAATTAATAATTAATAATTAATAATAACATTAAAATAAATTATTAATTTTTTTTTTGATTTTAAGATTTTTGCTTAAATTTGTGATTTAAAATTCAAATATTTTAATATAGTTAGGAGGTCCACCTTCCTTAGAACTGCTGCTAGTGGATATTTTTATAGCTAATCAATCATTATGCAGCGAAAGATATGGAATGTCAGGTTTAAATATTTACGATTCTCAAGTGTGTGCCTATGATACACTAATAAAAAAAGGAGCATGCCATGTATGTTTAATATTAATATTTTTTATAATAATAAAAAATATTAATAAAAGTAATAACTTTTTTTAATATTAATTTTTATTTTCAAAACGTAATAATAGTGAGTCTACTGAACGAAATATCTACTAAAATTATTATTTTAGGGCGATTCTGGTGGACCGTTGACAATTAATGGAGTATTAGTTGGACTTGTATCGTGGTCTTATGGCTGTGCTCAGACAGACTATCCATCTGTTTATACAAGAGTGCCCAAATATTTGAACTGGATAGAAAAAAATGCTGTCTAACTTTTTTCAAAATCTATAATAGACCCACATGACAGGAAAATTCCAAAAAAAAAAGCTTTCTGGAGAAAATCTCTATTACTGAAATATATATACTCTCATCTCAACTATACTATTCCTTCAACTGTATTGTTACTTTTTAATAATAAAAATATATATAAATATATGAATTTTTATTTTTTTAATAAGTACCTATATATTTATTGTAGGGGAACATAGTCTAGGTCGGCCACCTTTTTGACTTTTGTTTATAACTTTTTTTTAAAAATGAATTTTGACAATTGAAGTATATGGTTGGAAAGTCCTGTTTAATAGGAACATTTTTTCTGTACAAAGTAAATTGACAGGTTTAAAAATGAAAAAGTTATAAAGATTTAAAAAAAAAAAAATTTGTAGTCCAGGTTGGCCATTACAGTCAAGGTCGGCCATGTTTAAAATTCAAAGGGCATTAATCGTTAAAAAATAAAATAACATGTTTGGAGTTACGGAAAATTGATTCTTTATTGTTTACAGTTTGTAACTTAATGAAATAACAAAATAATAACAATAAACAATATAAAAAAATAAATATAAATAAAAAAAAGTTTTGCACTAAAATATTAATAAAATTAAATAAAAATATTAATAAGATGATCAATTATATTATGAGTTATACAGAATTGCAGTTTTTGCAAATGAAGTAGCTCGTCCTCATCTTTGCGCATTTTAAACACATAGTGGCCGACCTTGACAGTAAGTAACATTAGCGAATTGTTGTAACCATAAAAAAATACGTTTCGGGATTCGATTTTTTACTTTGATTATCTTTCAACCATGAGTCCCACAAATTTTCTGCATACTTGCCTTGACGATTCAATTTGTTTTTTATCTTTTATTAATGGTTTTTCACATTATGCACAAAACTTTTTTTCAGCTTTTTTTGTACCGACGTCACAGAAAACACAATTTTCGATTTTCCGAAAATGTAATTGAACAAAAAGTTAGGTTTCACTAAGACAAGCTTCGACAAATATGCGCGTAGGTGGCGCTAGTGAACTTGACAAAAAAACGCGAGTGGCCTACCTAGACAGTAGACCAACCTTGACTACATTCCCCTATTATTTTATTAAATTTATTTTTTATTTATTTATTTACACAAAGTGCTGACTTCTTTTTTTAAAAATTAGTTTTTTTGAAAATTTCCTAAGCAGATCTTTTTAATAAAGTTTGAAAATAATTTAAAAATTGAAGTTAACGATCACTCCGAGTCCTTGAGTGATCGTTACCTTCAATTTTTAAATTATTTGGTGATATAATCATTTTTATACATAAAATAATTATTTTATTGATATTTGAGCTTAATTTTTTTAATCTTACATAAACAATTTAATAATTAATAAATTTTTAGCATAGAGGTTGAATACTAAATTTAAAAAAGTCAAGTCTTGTCCACTAATAATACAAATGTAAAAAGATAAATAAAATGTATTCTGAGCAAACTTATTAAATGATAATTAAGTATATTACAAAATATTTAAACAAAAATTAATTTTTATCGCTATATGGTAGAAAAAATAAATTCTCAAATAAACAAAGAATTTTGTGGAAAATTGCACGGAATTTAAAAAAATTACGCATAAATTTTAATAATTTTTCTTTTTCAATATTTTTAATTTTAAAATTAATATACTAAACATCATCGAATCGTTGCAAAGAATTATATTAAAAAATTTGATAAAAATGTAATATTACATTTAAAAATTTTATTACTTAGGAAAGTAATTGAATACTGACGAAGAAAAAAAAAAAAAAATTGAATTCTTCCATGAAATTTTATTAAAATAGTATTAAAAATAATTGAATTTTTGCATAGAATTTTACTATATTTATAAATATAATTGAATTTTTCCAAAAAAAATTACTAAATATTTTAGAAAATAATTGAATTTGTTAGAAAAATATTATTAAAAATTAAAATAAAAAATTTAATTTTATGAAATTTTATTAAAATTATATTAAAAATAATTGGATTTTTGCATAGAATTTTTTCGAAGGATTTATCAAAATTTTAGGAAATAATTGAATTGTATTGGAATTTTTTATAACGAATTAAAAAAAAAAAATGAATTCTTTTGTGAAATTTTTTTGAAAATAATTAAATTTTTGTAAAGAATTTTACTATTTATAAATGTAATTGAATTGTTTCGAAGGATTTATTGAAATTTTAAAAAATAATTGTATTTGTTAGAAAAATATTATTAAAAATTAAAATAAAAAATTGAAGTTAATGAAATTTTACTAAAATTTTATTAAAAATAATTGAATTTTTCCATAGAATTTTACTATTTATAAATATAATTGATTTTTTTCGAAAAATTTACTAAATATTTTAGAAAATAATTGAATTCTATTATAATTTTGTATAACGAATCAAGAGAAAAATTGATTTCTTTCGTGAAATTTCTTTGAAAATAATTGAATTTTTGCTAAGATTTTATTACGAACTAAAAAAAAATTGAATTCTTTCGTGTAATTTTTTTGAAAATAATTGAATTTTTGCAAAAATATTTAACTATTTTTAAAAATAATTGAATTCTTACGAAGAATGTTGTATTTGAGAAAATAATTGAATTCTTGTGAAGAATTGTATTAAAATTTTTGAAATTAATAAACAAGAATAATTAATTACTAAATTAGTTAATAATTGAATTTTTTTAAAGTTTAAATCTGAAATTATTCAAAAAATCTTATTTGAAAATAAAAAATTTTGTAATTTTCATTAGAATATTTAAAAAAAAAACAAAAAATTAAACGAACTTACTTTATATTTTATTTTTAGTTTCTTTTTAAATAAAAGAAGAAAATTTTTATGTAACAATAATAAGAAATTCAAACTATAAGAATAAAAAATAAAAAAGTATGTAGAATGAAAGAAAAGATCAAAATTTTGGGAAAAAGACGTTCAAATTTAATTTCTGTATTTGTAGTAATTTTTGTGTACAGCATACCAATATTTATTATTTATTACGAAAAAACGGAAGATTTGTTAAAAAATTGTGATTAAGAATAAATGGTCCAAATTTATTTATTTTTCAAAAGAAAAAAATTATTTTGAATAAATATTGTAATCATGCAATAGAAAGTCTTCAAATTTTTTTTTTATAAATTTCTAAATATAATTTATAATAATTTCGTTAAAAATTGTTATTAAATAACTGAAGTTAGACAAATTTTTTTTTCTAAAAGAAACTAAAAATTTTCTATCCAAAAGATGTAGTTGATAAATCAACATATATGAAAATTTCTTACTTTTATTTTTCGAAAATCTTTTAAATTTCAGTTTTATAATTTTCAATAAATATTCAAAAATTGTTATTCAAAAATCAAAAAGCTGTATAAGTTTTAATTCTTCCGTTCTTTGGCCTAAATTGTAGACTAATTTTTGAAACGTACATTCAGGAATTGTTTAATAAATAATTTCTGATAATGAACGATTTAAAATTGTTCTAAATACCTAGTAGCATGATTCACTAATAAATATAAATTTTTGGCCAAAGTTTTTTTTTGAGAGAGATAATAATATCTACATCAGCTGCAATCAAATATCGATACATCTAATCTCATTTTACTTAAAATTCGATCAAAGCTCAAGAGTTAGTATAATTCGTTAGAAAGCATTCGAAAAATAATATTTCTTAAACAAATTAAAAATGCGGGTTTTAATTTTTCTGGTTATTGGATATCTGTCGATTTCAAAAGGTGAAATGTGTTAAAAAAATTAATAAACTATTTTTAATTATTATAACAATAAATAGAATAGATTTTAATATTATAGTGTAAAGTGAATTATTATTATTTCTTTTTTTTGCAGCTTATGTTTTGGAATCAAATTTTCTTGAACCTAGAATAATTAATGGTACAGAGGCTAAGAAAGGAGAGTTTCCTTATTTGGTATAAATTAAATTCATTATACTTATTTTCCATGCTTAAAATTTGGAATAAAAAAAATGTTTATGCTCATAATTATCATAATTATTTTGTTTTAATTTAAAAACTAATTTTGTACAGGTTTCTCTGCAAAGTCGTTATTTCAATGATCACATTTGCGGAGGATCTATTATAAGCAGTCGATATGTATTAACTGCTGCTCATTGTGTCATTTTGTAAGAAATTTATTAAGAATTTAATTTTTCTTTGAAACAATTATTATCATTATGACCTAAAGTCGCACTTTTTTATTTTTTTTAAATTTAGATAATAATAGATAATAATAATTTTTACATTAAGATCCAATATGTTAACTATCGGCACAAAATAAAGCAAAATTTTTGCAATTACAAAAAAATATTAACAATTACTCTACAGACAGAGTTCAAGAACATTGAAAGTTGTGGCAGGTTCATTAAAACTAAATGAACCAAAATCAATTCATTATGTTGATAGAATATATTTTCATAAGAAAGTTCAATATAAAAGCAAGTCTTGGCAAAATGATATTGCTTTAGTCAGGGTAAGAAGCATTTTTGTCTCCTTTATAATACAAAATTTTATTTTAACACATTTTTTTTAATATTTTAACATTTTTTATTTAGTAGAAAAGATTTTTATTCACTTTATATAATTTAGGTAATAGAAAGGTTTGTTACAAGTAAAACGATAAAACCAATAACCCTACCGAGTGCAAAAATGGTTATAAAAAAGAATCAAAAAGCTGTTATTTCCGGATGGGGTCCTCTAAATGTAAGTCTGCAATTTATATTCCATTTTTCTTTTATTAATTTCAAATTTTTAAGTTTACACCAAAAGAACAATCTTAAAACCAAATTGATTGAAAATTTCCCTATTTTTAAATTAAAATCTATAGTTCTAAAACTTTAGAAACAAATTTTTACTGAAGATTCAGTAAAATTCTTTTCTAATTTATACGCGGTCTTATGGACTAAGATTAATTTTTTACTGAGTAAAATTTTTATTTAAAACTTCATTTTTAGATTTTATTTCGATTACTGTCGTATACAAATCGAAATAAAATCTAAAAAAGAATATCTTGCATCGCAATCATTTTTCCAATACAAATTTTTTTCGAATTAAAAAAAATTCTTCTCACAGCTTTCAGGTCGTAACTCAAATACTTTACAAAAAGCTAACATTTTTATAACTGAGCAAAGCTTGTGCGTAAATAAGTATAAGAAAGAAAATCTGACAATTTATGATTCCCAAATCTGCGCTTATGACCCAAATGTTCAAAGGGGAGCATGTTTGGTAAGTTTCTTTTCATAATTTTTTTTCCTTTAAGACAAAATTTTCCCAAATTGTGTACAAATTTTATCGGCACTATTGTGATAATTATGATTTACTCAAATTGTCAAAGTTAATTTTTAAAAAAGGTTAATTAAAAAAAGGTTATTTTAAAAAGTTAATTTTTAACATTTAATTCTAAATGTTGCTTTTTTATTAAAAATAATGAAATATAAGGATGGTAGTGGGTCACTTTTTTTAATGAAATCATCATAATCAAATCTTCTTTTTTAGGGAGATGCTGGTGGTCCTTTAACTATAAATGGAGTTCTTGTAGGTATTGCCTCATGGGGACATAATTGTGCACAAACAGATTATCCTTCAGTTTATACCAGAGTTACTAAATATCTCAGTTGGATTAAGGCAAATTCTTAAATTAGTAAAAATAATATTTGTTCTTTAAATTTTTAGGATTTTTGGCTACATTGTACGTCACGTGACAATTAAAATCGTGTAATGTTAAACTTATCATTCTTATGTACTATTCTTCCTAACTTTTTTGGAAAAACCTAGTCTTTACATTTACATTTAAAATTAAGCAAAGAAGCTTAAATAATTCCCAGGTGGAAAAGTTAACGTTAGCTAACGTTAGCTAAAGCTACTAACGTTAGACTAACGTTAGACTAACGTTAGACTAATGTTAACTAACGTTATAATCTGATATTCGTGATCAAAAAAAGGCGTTAGACTAACGTTAGCCTAAAGTTAGTTAACTTATTGTTAGTCTAACATTAGTAGCATTAGCTGACGTTAACTAACGTTAACTTTTTTACCTGGGGGCTATAAATTAATTAACTTTAAGAAGATTTTTAAACATTTGGTAAAAAAGGGTTTTTGGTGTCGCTACTTTCGAATTTAAGGCTAGATTTGCGAAATTCAAAATGGCGGATTTAATATGGCAGTCGTATTATTAAAATTTACTTAAAATCGCTTAAAAAAATGTTAGTCGCGGATTTTTGAGAACACTTATTATGAATTATTAGTGATATTAGATTTACAACATTCAAAATTTCGGATCTAATATGTCAACCGAAAATTTTAAAAAAATCATTAGATTCGCAACAAAAAAGGCGTTGTAGAGTTGTAGAATAATTGGATAAAGAAGAACTTTTTATCCATAATAATAATGTTTATGATAGAGAAGTCGTTTGCTCTATATTAAATGCATGCAGCAATTACGACTCGTCCACAGGCATCATGTTCGCTGTTAACGATGTTGGTTGGTAGATATCAAGAGAATTCAAGTCAATCCCTTAATGAAACACAGTTAAAATGATCTTAAAGTATATTTGAAAGGGTCGCATGTTTACGACATTAGGTACACAAAAGATGATGTTCAGGATCTAATCGAATTTACTGTGATTCAAATTTTCCTAACGATGCAAAGATAAACTATAAACGTTCGTGTAGACTACTCCTTCAGGTGTAACATAATATTACATAATGAACTCTATAAAATATTTTGTAGTGAATGAAGTAAATTAAGCAGTATTATTGTGCAGCTCTTTTGTTACACGCTTCTTATAATTTGAGGAAAAATTTTTTATAATTAAGTTTTTTTTAATGAATTATATTTAAAAATTTTGCATGCAGGATCTTGTTTTGTAATTATTTATTAAATATGACCGAGGGATAAAATCATTATTTTATATTATAAAAATATTGTACTTCTTCAAAATTAGTTTCATCATTTCAATTCAATTTTTATTTATAAGAATTTGTAACTAAAATTCTTCTTTTATCAATTATTTTTAATAACTTTCGAAAAAGTTCTTTGACTATTTTCAAATCCATTTTTTTACAATATTCAATTTTTTTTTTAAATTTCAATTATTCGTTAATTCTTCAATTAAATATATATTACAAATTAAAAACTTTAGATAATTTTTTTAAAAAATCAAATTTTTATTAGAAAATTCTAATAGAATTCAATTATTTAAATGCAAAAATAAATAATTTATTGAATAATTGAATGATTCTTAAAATTCATTTCTCATGAAGAATTTTATCAACAAATTTTTAAATTGAATTCCTAAAAAGAATTTTAGTATTTACGAAAATAATTGAATCTCTGTAAAAATGTTATTATTTATGAAAATTATTGAATTATTGCGAAGAAATTTATAAAAACTTTTTTAAATAATTGAATTCATGTGAAATTGTTATTATTTTATGGGAATAATTATAAATGTTTCCGTAGAATTTTATCAAATTCTTTTTAAAGAATTGAATTCTTTTGGAAAATTTTATTAAAATAGTAAATATTGAAAATCATTTAATAGAGGAAAATTTTTAAAAATAATTAAAATTTTGCCAAGAATTGTATTAAAATTTATGAAAATAATTTAATTGCGGAGAAGAATTTTATTAATTTTAAAAATAATTGAAATTTTAATCAGAATTTTAAAAAATTTTTAAATGTAATTGAATTTTTACGAAGAATAATTATATTTTTCGAGAAATTAAAAAAAAAAAATTTGATTAAAATTGTATTTAAATATTAAAAATAATTGAAATTCTGCAAAAAGTTTAATATTTATGAAAATAATTGAATTCTTAAAAGGAATATTATTATTTTTGAACATAATTAAATTTCTGTGAAGAATTTTATTACTCTTCAAAATAATTGAATTTCTGCAATTATCTTGTAATGTCTCCAAAATTAAATTATTTTTAAGTGTTTTTAACTAATTCTTCTATAAATCCATTGTTTTTAATAATTTTTTAAAAAGTTCTTTGGGAATTTTCAAATTCATTTGCTTAACATTTCAATTTTACAAAATTTCAATTATTCGGAAATTCTTCATTAAATATATATATATATTAGAAAATAAAAACTTCAAAAAAATAATTCCAATTAAAATTGAAATAAACTTATTCTAAAATATTAATTCTCCTACAAAATTGCTTGTTAAAAGTATAAAAAATTAAAATTTTCAAAGATTTTAATATGAAACCTTTTCAAAATTCAATTATTTCTAAAAATTCACGCTATAATGCTTTTAATATTCAATTATTATTTAAAATTTTAGCCTTAAATTTATTTTTCATTCAATTATAAAAATAAAAAAAATAATTAATTGAATAATTGAATTTTTTCGACGAATTTTTATAAAAATTTTAAGAATAATTACACTCATCGAGGAATTACAATAAAATTGTATTATAAAAATAATTGAATGCCTGTAAAAATTTTATTATTTATGAAAATAATTCGAATTATTTAGAAGAAATCTATAAAAAAAATTTAAATAATTGAATTCCTGTAAAATTGTTATTATTTTATGAAAATAATTAAATGTTTGTGTAGAATTTTATCAAATTATGTTTTTAAAATAATTGAATTCTTTTGGAAAATTTCATTAAAATAATAAATATTGAAAATCATTTAATAAAGGAAAATTTTTGAAAATATTTGAAATTTTGCCAAGAATTTTATTAAAATTTTTGAAAATAATTGAATTTCGAGGAAGAATTTTAATATTTCTAAAGATAATTAAAATTTTGACGAGAATTTTTTTAAATTTTTTCAAGTAATTGAATTTCTGCGAAGAATTTTATTGCATTTGAAAATAATTGAATTTCTGCAATCATTTGTAATTTCTCTAAAATTCTCCAAATTATATTGTACAATTGACGAACTTCTCGTCCTTTTTCTATAAAATTACGAACTTTAAGGACCTTTTTTTTAAAAAAAACTGACTTTTACGGACTTGAAGCAAATTCACGGACCTTTACAGGATTTACGGACCTAGTTCCAGCCCTGGTATATGTGTAAGTTTATATGTGTAAATGCATAGGTGTAAATCCATATGTGTATGCGTTTTATGTATATGTGCAAGTGCATATGTGTAAATTTATATTTCTCTGCGATTTGTGTATATGTGTAAATGCATAAGTGTAAAATCCATACGTGTATGCGTTTTGTGTACATGTGTAAGTGCATATGTGTAAATTTATATGTCTATGCGATTTGTGTACATGTGTAAGTGCATATTTGTATTTTTATATGCCTATGCGACTTGTGTATATGTTCAAGTGCATATGTGTATACGTCTTGTGTATATGTGTAAGTCCATATGTGTATACGTCTTGGGTTTATGTGTAAGTGCACATGTGCAAATTTATATGTACATGCGTCTCGTGTATATGTGCAAGTGCGTATGTGTAAGTTTACATGTGAATGCATTTTATGTACATGTGTAAGTGCATATGTGCAAATTTATATGTACATGCGTCTCGTGTATATGTGCAAGTGCGTATGTGTAAGTTCACATGTGAACGCATTTTGTGTATATGTGTAAGTGCATATGTGCAAATTTATATGTACATGCGTCTTGTGTATATGTGCAAGTGCGTATTTGTATTTTTATATGCCTATGCGACTTGTGTATATGTTCAAGTGCATATGTGTATACGTCTTGTGTATATGTGTAAGTCCATATGTGTATACGTCTTGGGTTTATGTGTAAGTGCACATGTGCAAATTTATATGTACATGCGTCTCGTGTATATGTGCAAGTGCGTATGTGTAAGTTTACATGTGAATGCATTTTATGTACATGTGTAAGTGCATATGTGCAAATTTATATGTACATGCGTCTCGTGTATATGTGCAAATTTATATGTACATGCGTCTTGTGAATATGTGCAAGTGCGTATGTGTAAGTTCACATGTGAACGCATTTTGTGTACATGTGTAAGTGCACATGTACATTTACGAATATAACATATGTAAAATCATGATAAAAATATATAATATTTTAGTTTAAAACAAGTAAACACTTGAATTGTAGAGTCAAAATTTTTGAAGACCGAACGGATTGAACGGGACATGGTAGCAGGTCAGCTGGCGTCTAGGGATCAATACCTGCTTGCGCTCACGTGTTGCTCTCAATTCCAATGACACTTTAACCAATCAAAATTTGTCCAATTTTTTGGCAAATGAACAATCAAGTAATTAAATCCATACAATCCAATTACTTTACAGATCGCACTGATAATATATAATTTGAAACATTGCACACATTGTTCAAGAAAAGCAATTTATTCTCAATCTATTAAATTTAATGTTTAAAAAACTTGAAACTCTGCATCAGTTTTTCGGTCATTCATAAAAAATATTTAAAAAAATGATATGATAATTTTAAAACACAGTTTTTAATAGTAAAACAATTTACATCGCAAATATTGTAAATATTGTAAAAAAAATGGGTAAGTATAGTAGGTAAATATTATTTTTCTCTCTGGAAGAAAGTAAATTAACGAGAAAATTTTAAATTAAAATATCTTTGAAGTTTTTACTAAAAACGGCTTTGAATTTTCCTAAAGCCACGTCGCTTCAAGAGTAGTCGTATATATAATAATAAAATCGAGAAAAAGGAGGAAAAAAATCTGTATATTGGAAACGATAATTTGAAAGCGTTTTTTTGAGTCGCAGTAGAAGCTCATTTTCGATGGATCGTTAA